ATTTATATATCAATTACTTTTTTGGCTGTTTCCCTTCTATTACATTTAAGGTTTGTTGGCAGTAGTTCACTCTATAATTTAGTTGAAAAAGTAACAAATATGGGCTGGGAATGAACTAGTAAATATCACTTAGAAATCCTGGACTTGGAGCTGGGAGTTGAGACTCTGGGTCACCTCTTATGGAGGATATTTGGTTAGCACATTTCCTTTGTAGTTGGGAAAGTATGCTGTTAGGCAATAGTTTGTTGTTACTGATTAGGAAAGTTATTAGTGGATATCTGTAACTTGTGTCCACCCACTCAAAATTGTTGACCATCATCCTGTTTTGATGACTTTCCAGATTTTGTACGTGTCACTTTCCCAAGGTAAAAGCCAAACATTTTGCCTCCCCTGACTCACTTGTAACTAGGAGACAGCCATGACATCTAGTTTTGCCTTGTGGTGGACTCAAAAGGAACAAAACAGCACAAGGTTGTGGCCATAGGCGGGGCAGTCAATCTCTGCAGGATGGGGCAGAGGGCGATTCCTAAGCATCACAAGGGGCATGTCTCAAAGCTGTCCCCGAGCCATGCCTGAGGCTGTTCTGTGTAGCTTCACAACAGGGCTATCCAAAATCCTGTGAGCTATCTAATATCTTTAATCAACTTCTCTGCTTAAAAGCCAGACCCACTCTGGCTAGTCTCAGGCAGAGAAAAAGTGAAATAAAGAATGTCAGGCAACTAAGGTTCCTGACCACACAGGGTTTCAAGCTGGGAGCTATCGCATTTTTGCCTTCAAAAGGCCACTCTGGCAGCAGAGGTGTGGATGAATTGAGAGAAAAATCACAGGCTGTGGCAGTAATTGAATAGCCGATCAAGACAGGCCTTGACCAAGAGAGTGACAAAAAGAAAAAAAGATTCAGAGGGAAAAGGCAAAAACCACAAACCTAAACTATAAATATGCAGTTCTGTCAGTAAACACATGAAAATACAAAGATAAATAAAAATTAAAAAGCACAGTATCTCCTTTTTTTGATTTTTGGCCTGTCAGTCTGGCAAAAATTAAAAACATTCGTAGTACCCAATATTGGCAAGGTTAAGAGGAAAGATATTAGAGAGATAGAATTGATGGGCATTGACGTCAAATCTTTTTAAAAAAACCTTGTATCACTTACTTTTTACTGAATCTATTGAAATACCTTTTCAAGTAACTTAAAAACAATGAGGCTACTGGCAATGTCTGTAATATGCTGCTTTTTGACTGAGTTTGCGAATAATTTTTATACTCTTTTGCATCATATACCTGGAAAAACAGCCTCCAAGTCATTTATGCAAATTGTTCATAGAGAAAACTCAAAGCATAAAAATATTAATATTATTACAGCAATGAGCAAAGTCACCAGCCTAGAGACTTCGGCTTATCCAGGGTTGTATATTAAGTATATATACCCATGCTGATACATATTCCATTATACGGATCTAGAAATGAAAAAAACGTGAAGGAACTCATGCAAATGAGGAAAGATACCCAATTTACACAAAAGCAGAAAGCATCGACATTCATCCAAACTAACTACACAGAAACAACTCTATTTTCAGGGAACATGAGACACAGAACTGAAGACTGAGGAGGAAACAGGTTTAAAAGACAACAGGATCAGCTAAAAACGGGCAGTTAGATAAATGTATGGAGAGATGTTTTTGGTGATACTGTTAATGAACAATATGAGATGGTGGTAGGCCATGACGCATCCCTCTTGTCTCTGCAGGTGTCTGGATCTACACAGCCTACAACACGATGAACCTCAGTCATCTGTGAAAAGCAATCTTGTGGTCGATCTGCGTCATCAATGCTCATACCTTTTAGAAATTGACAGTTTAGTAAGAGTCTAAGCATTTATTAACCAATCCCTACTGAAATACCAATGACATTCTTCACAGAAATAGAAGATAACACTAAAAATTATATGGAACCACACAAGATCCAAATAGCTAAAGCAATTCTGAGTGAAAGAATAAGGCTGGAAACATCATACTACCTGATTTCAAAATATACTACAAAGCTATAGTAACCACACTAGCATGGTATGGTTATAAAAACAGACACATAGACCAACGGAACAGAAGAGAGAACCCAGAAATAAGTTCACTTATTTAGAGCCAACTGATTTTTAACAAACGTACCAAAAACACATATTAGAGGAAAGAACACTTTCTTCAAAAACCGCTGCTGGGAAAACTGGATATCCATATGCAGAAGAATAAAACTGGGCCACTGGATACAAAAATCAACTCCAAATGGATTAAAGACTTTAATATAAGACCCAAAACTAGAAAACTACTAGAAAACTATACCTACCAGAAGAAAACTAGAAAACTGCTAGAAGAAAACTCAGGGAAAACTTCAAGATATTGGTCTAGGCAAGGATCTTGCGAGTAAGATTTCAAAAGCAGAGGCCATAAAAAGAAAAATAGAAAAATGGACTATATCAAACTAAAAATCTTCTATACAGCAAAGGAAACAATCAAGTGATGAGACAACCTGTAGAATGGGAGACAATATTTGCAAACTATCCATCTGACAAGTGACTAATGTCCATAATAAACAAAGAACTCAAATAACTCAATAGCAAAAAGCTAATCTGATTTTAAAACGTGCAAAGGATTTGAGCATTTCTCAAAAGAAGACATACACATGGCCAACAAGTATATCCAAAACTGCTTAACATTATTAATCATCAGGGAAATGCAAAGCAAAACCACAATGAGATATCTCATCAAAGTTAGGATGGGCATTATCAAAAAGATGAAAACTAACAAGTGCTGGCAAGGATGTGAAGAAAAGGAACTCATATACATGGTTCATGGGAATTTAAATTAGTGTAGCCATATGGAGAATAATATGGAGGTTCCTCAAAAACCTACAAATAGAATTACTGTGTGATCCAGCAATCTCCCTGCTAGGTATTTTAACAAAGGAAGAAAATAAGTATATTGAAGAGATATCTGTACCCCCTTGTTTATTGCAGTACTACTCACAGTAGCTAAGATATGAATCAATCTAAATGTTTACCACCAGGTCAATGCATAAAGAAAATGTGCTATGTATCTATACACAATGGAATACTATTCAGCAATATATACATTAAAAAAATAAAATCTGTCATTCATGGTGACATGGGAGGAGGGCAAGGAAGTACTGGGTAGAGAAAGGCAGGGTCCCTGGTGAGGGCTCCGCCCTTAGGCCTGTGCCCACAGACCTAGGTGAGGACAGCCACTCCTGTTTTCATGCCCAAATGTTGCATCTTCCAAGACCACCCTGGCCCACCATGCCCCCAATCCTGTGCCTGAGACCCTAGTGGGTAGACACACAGTTGGCTGGACATCAAGAGGAGCAGGCCAACAAGCACCAGCAGACTCTGGCAGGCCATTGACAGTGGGATAATGTGAAATTGCGCCAGCGGAGAGTGGCAGCTGGGCGGCCCAACTGCAGGGGACGACCACCTTCCCACATGATCCCACTTCTGGATGCTCCACTCACATCCCTGCGAGCCCTGTGAGCTACCTCCACTCTAAAACCTTGCACTCATTCTCCAAGCCCAGGTGTGATCCAATTTTTCCGGTACACCAAGGAAAGAACCCGGGATACAGAAAGTCCTCTGTCCTTGAAATAAAGCAGAGGGCCTATCTGAGCTGATTAACACAAGCCGCCTGCCGATGGCTAAACTGAAAAAGCACATTGTAACACATGCCCACTGGGGCTTCAGGAGCTGGCAACACTCAACCCTAGATGCTGCTGCTGTAGGGTCTGAGCCCGTGCTACTGCCGTCTACATGTTCCCCTAGGGGTTTGAGCTGTGGGGCCACATCGCCATCACATGTCCTGTGAGGGGGATAAGGGACCTTTTCAATGACAACATGAATGAGCCCAAAGGAAATTCAGTGAAGTAAGTCAGGCACATATACACACGATGGAACACTATTCAGCCATAAAAAGGAATAAATTAATGGCATTCGCAGCAACCTGAATGGGACTGGAGATTATTATTTTAAGGAAGTACCTCAGGAATAGAAACCCAAACTCATAAGTGGGAGCTAAACTATGGGGATGCAAAGGCATAAGAATGGCACAACAGACTTTGGGGACTTGGAGGGAGAGGGTGGGAAGGGAGTGAGATAAAAGACTACAAATCATGTTCTGTATATACTGCTTGGGTGACGAGGGCACCAAAGTCTCACAAATCACTGCTAAAGAACTTACTAGTGTAACCAAAAAACATAAAGAAAAAAATAGAGATATACAGACATATTAAATTTTATGATGTAATCAAGAAAAATAAATATCATGTTCTCACTCATATGTAGAAGATATTTATATAAAAAAATTGAGCTCATACAATTATAGAGAATTGTGGGTATTAGAAGGCTAGGAAGGATAGGGAAGGGAAGGATAAGGTCAGTTAATGGATATAAAATTACCGCTAGAGTAGGTTCTAGTGTTCTATATAGCACTATAAGGTCAAATATGGTTAACATTAATTTATTGTATATTTTCAAAAAACCAGAAGTAAGGATTTTAAATGCTCACAACACAAAGAAATGATAAATGTTCAGGTGATATATATGCTAATTACTCTAATTTGAAAATTACACATTGTATACACGTATCAAAATATCCTATAAATATGATACACGTATCAAAATATCCTATAAATATGTACAATTACTACATGTCTACTAAAAATAAAAAAGAAAAACTTCAAAATTAAAAAAAATCCTTTAAAGAATTTACAGTTTCCTTAGGAATGTTTTATTTGCTATTTTTATATATTTTGCCTACCATTAAAAGTCCTGAGGGTTCTTTGGTTAATTTTCTTTACCCAAACAAAGTATCTTCATTAGGACATATTTTTTAAATGTATCACTACACTAACATGACAGTCAGAGTCAAACATAATTGCCATCTCTACAGAGCAGAAATTCTATTTATTTTTTGTGCAAAATCAAAGTGCTCTGCTCCTACCTTTTAAGGCCAAGGGACTGGATCTCGTGAATTCTGCGTTTGATGGCCTGTGCTGCTTGCGAACTTCCAAGTGCTCCTGAACTCTTGAAGCAATGGTTTCTTTTAACAGTAAACAGACTTCCTAAAGTAAATAAAAAATTAGATATAAGCTTCCAATTTAAATGCAAAAAAGTTAACATGAGATATATTAAAAAGTCAACAATGAACATTTCATTTTGTTTGCTTTTTAATTTAGTTATGAATGTTGAAAGGAATGTCATGTTTGCTCATGGATAACACTGCAGATTTAAATTTGCTACTGAAGTTTGCTCAAAACCCGAATGTTGGCTCACTGTGTGACCTGGGAAAGTCACTGCATTTCTTTCTGCCTCAGTTTCACATTTCTGAAAGAAAGATAAAAACACTTCAATGTGAACATCTGGGTGAGGAGGTAATAAAATAAGTGCAGTAAAGAACACTTTCATATAAATATCAATCAGTTGTACTGTGACAAGTAGAAGAAATACGTCAAGAAGAGCCAACACTGGCTGGCAGCAAGGGCCCCAAGGAAACACCAGTGTGGCCACCCAGGGAACAGCAGGCAGGGATGGGGCCAGGAGTAAGGGCATATTCATCCACTGCTGGTGCGACAGCATGGGCAACCCAGACCACAGCCCCAGTCAACTGTGGGGAGCAAGCCCCTCATGGTTTCAGGACTGTTTCATGTGTATAAGCACAGTGTTGCTGGATATTCCAGTTTGTTCAAAAGGAGTCAGAAATAGTAATTTGTACAGAAAATCTACCATTTTTCAAACTTGGTCTAAAAATGTTTTTAAATCTAAACACATTGGCTGGGCATGGTGGCTCACGCCTGTAATCCCAACACTGTGGGAGGCTGAGTTGGGTGGATCATGAGGTCAGGATTTCGAGACCAGCCTGACCAACATGATGAAACCCCGGCCCTACTAAAAATACAAAAATCAGCCAGGCATGGTGGTGCGTGCCTCTAATCCCAGCTACTCAGGAGGCTGAGGCAAGAGAATTGCTTGAACCCAGGAGGTGGAGGTTGCAGTGAGCCAAGATCACGCCACTGCACTCCAGCCTGGATGACGGAGCGAGACTCCACCTCAGAAAAAAAAAAAAAAAAAAAAAACACCATTATTAAAACCTAAACATCATCATTGATTAGTTTCTGGTCTTGGGTTTACAAATCTACTGAAGAAGGAAAGTGTTGAGCAGTGAGTTAAGCAGCAAACTGGAAATCACTAACGTTATTTTCCTTCTAATGCTCTTGTTGATGATACTGTATATGCCTGTTTGTTTTTGTAAAAATGCATTACACTCATCTATTAACAGTGAAAATAATGCAATTTCTCTAAAGTAGATTAACATTTACTGGGTGACAGAAACGTGGCTTTAATTCGATTTCAGTATTCCTTATCACTAGTAAGTTTCTGTATATGTCAATTGTTTTATGACATATAAATACAACTGTTTTATTGATTTGGTGTTATTTATAATAAAGGAAAACAAACATTTAAGCCCAACCACACAATGGGAAGATACTCTGTGCAGTTGTGTCCTGCACTAACAGGAAAATGTAACCTAATGTAGACAAAGAGAATAAAATTACACACAAATCTAAATTTCTTAATTTAGATTAAGAACTGATGTATAAGGACTGATGATTCCTGTTTAATTCCCAAAGACTGCAGCAAACTCAGAGTTGCCCAGGTCACCTCAAACCTGTTTTGCTGGTTTCTTGCAAAGTCATCTCAGGTTGATCTCTTAGAATCTTCACAAATTAAAACCACAAAATTTTTAGCTGTTCTGAAGAGCAATGATGGTAAAACTTATCCTTTATTACAAACACTTGTACTCCTCAAACAGTATAGAAAACACTGGATTTAACTTATGAGTGTGAGTTTCTAGAGAAAATACAAACACTGGTTTCCTCTCTCCTTCTTTTCACTGCCCAAAGATGCAGTGCCTTGTGAAATACAGATATCCATTTACAGTTGAGTGTTTTGGCATTGTTCACACAACAAAAAGGCAGCCTTGCCGCCTCATAGCTTGTTTTTTTTTTTTTTTTTAACAATTAAAGAATTTTGCTTCACATGCAGAGTTCAACTATGAGTGAGCTAGAAAGTATGTGAAAGACATACATGGAAACAACGATTGCTAAAATTTGTCCATAAATGCCCTATAAGGCTAAAACTAAAAATAGTATGACAAAAATAAAGCAAAGGCTCACACACAAACTCTCTCCCTCTAGCTATGGGACCCTCCTTCCGTGAGTCAGTTCGACAAATGGAAGGTAGACCAACTGCAGTGTGGCAAAGGCACACCACACTTGGTGAAGCTTTCTCTTCAAAGCCGCAGTAGTGCAAGAAAAGAAAAATTCTCAGCTACCTTCGAGGGGCAGACAAGAAGAACAAGTTAGAATCAGTGCACAAGAGAGAGATACAGAGGGCATCTCTAGGCTAACAGGCTGTGCTCACTTCCTCGAGTTTACAAATGGAACAGTTTAAATTCAACTGTTTGGGTACAAAGACTACTCGTGCTGCACTCAAAATAAACATATGGTTAATGCATGTAATTAGTTATTTTGTCTAAAAAGGAACTGGATTTTCTTAGGCTTTCACTGTGTAAAATGACGGTTAAAATGCAATCAAATTGGTTGCTCATGAAATCCCAATCATGAAAGGATCTAATGATAAAAAGGACGAACGCCTGGGGTCACTGAACTAGACTAAAGTCATAGCCTTTCCTCAACTAGCTTTTCTCCTTTCTTACACACACGAATGATCCCAGAGGGATTTTAATGTCAGTGAATCCTTTTTTTTTTTTTTGAGACAGGGTCTCACTCTGTCACCCAGGGTGGAATTCAGTGGCATTATCAATGGCTCTCACTGAAGCCTCAAGCTCCTAGGCTCAAGTGATCCTCCCACTTCAGCCTCCAGAGTAGCTGGGACTCCAGATGCAAGCCACCACATCTGGCTAATTTTTGTAATTTTTAGAGACGGGGTTTCACTATGTTGCCCAGGCTGGTCTTGAACTCCTGGGCTCAAGCAATCCACCCACCTTGGGCTCCCAAAGTGCTAGGATTATAGGTGTGTGTCACCGCCAATACACATTTTAAAAGGGCAAATTAAGGCCGAGGTGGGCGGATCATGAGGTCAGGAGTTCAAGACGAGCCTGGCCAACACAGTGAAACTCTGTCTCTGCTAAAAATACAAAATTAGCTGGGTGTGGTGGCACATACCTGTAATCCCAGCTATTTGGGAGGCTGAGGCAGGAGAATTGCTTGAACCTAGGAGACAGAAGTTGCAGTGAGCCAAGGTGCCATTGCACTCTCAAAAAAAAAAAAGGACAAATTAAAGAAGCAGCAGCAAACCAACTATTTGGTTTTGAGAGGCTGACCTGCCCCTTGCAGCTGCCAGCGCAGCGCTGCTCAGCAGGTCCTGTCATGCACTGCACAGCTTTGCTAAGTCATGCCCTGATGCCCTCAAGTAGGTACTATGAGCATCCATGCAGCTGCATGTGGCTCCTATAAAAACCCCCTAGCCTTATTCTTTGGCTATGAGGTGATTCACACACCTACGGCTTTATTTTAAAGAATTCCAAATTTACTGAATCTTAGGCAAAACTGACTCAATATTAAGAAAGGTCTAAGGTGGATAAAAGTCTAAGGTGACAAAGCTGAAAGAGAATGGAGAACGGGCCTGGAATGGATTCTATAACACTGTTAATTTAAGTCAAGTCAGAAGATTTTGGGGTAAGGTCCTCTTGGGTGACTATTAGTCACTTTGGGGAAAGGAATGAACAGTTTTGAATCACAGCAACATGTGCTAGTAAGCTAAAGAGTGGAATTATATGAAGGTAAGTGGCAGTAGGAGATGTTGATTGACTTGCTAACTATTTAAAAGTCCTGGAGCATCTATAGTTATTTACCTGAATGATAAATCCCGCCATACGGAACCTTGTGCCTTCCTTTTCTCAGCTTTGGGTCACCAGGTATTCTTTGCAAAATAATGACACCAAAGTCTTGATCATATTATCCTTTGAATAAAAATGTACTATCCTATAAAATATTTGTTGGGGATTGAGGATTTTTTTTTCTAGTGATCTACAAAAGCTGATTAAAAGCAATTATCACAGAAAAGGGTGTTACTGTTTTGTTTTGCCACTGTCCATAGTTTTTTCTCCATATACTGTCTTTTAATAAAACTCATTTTTCTTTCTCACTCTAAAAAGCAACTGTGATAAATGGACATCATGGATAATGATATTTTTAAAGGCATGTAAAAGGCACAAGCTGATTATCCCTGTTCTCTGGTGAACGGGGGTGGGAGAAAGAGGTAAAGTAATGGTGACAGCTCAAGGCAGCTTGTAAGCCTCCACCACAGGCAGCACGTGGGCGGGACTGCTGAAATTTAGAACCAGGAGTAGACTCAGCATCTAGGCCAACCTCTTCACTTTCAGATGAGGAGGCTGAGGCTCAGAAAGTCCAACATCATGCTCTGCTAAGTCCCCGGCTACTGGCTTTCCTGACTGACCAATGTGAGAAGGAACACAGTCAAGTATCTCCTCACTTGTCAAAGGCTCACAATAATAAAAGGACAACAGAAAATAAAAGCTGAGGCTTTATGGGTGTGAATGTTCAGCCTTGTGTTAACCGCCATACCTGCTTCAGGTGCTCAGGCCATCCTTCACAACCAGTCAGGTTAAAATCCTGCTTACCTGAAATAGTCCCTTTAACTATTTCTTCTTCTTCCTCTCTCTTTTAAAATATACAACTCCTTCCCCCAAAACATAGAGGTATAAAATGTCTGGTTTAAATAATAGAGTATCATATGAAGTATATGAATGTGTCAGTTTCTGAAGGAAGAAAAAAAGTGGGTGCATATGTGTCTGTCATTGGGAATACAATTGTTTTCCAAGGATTAAATACTCAACACTTTTCCCCATTAATAGAAATAAAAGCTTGAAAGAGCTAATATTTTTCCTAGCAGCAGCAGCTACTTGCATGTAAATAGTAGAAAGTTTGTTGTACCTCTTTCTTCTGTTCAGAAAACCAGCTTGTATCTTTGTTTGAACCTTGCGGCAATATATGAAGATCCACCAGGACAGCAAAATTCCCACACTGAAAGACATTAATGGCAGAGTCAGTGTCTGTGCGGCTCATGCCCAGCAAACAATGTGAGAAAATCTCACAAATTCCTATGTGGTTGGTCATGATGAAATGGCAACAAAGTTCACTACTAGACAGAACTCTTAAGAACAGGGCTACAGGTCATAATGTACTACTTTTCCAAGTTTAACATTTGCTGTGGAAATGCTAAGGAGAGATATAATATTAATCAAGACAGGAAAGAAAATATGTCTCTGGGCTGAACCTTGAAAGGGGATGTTCAGGCATCCCAGCGGCAGTTGGAAGACATCAAGCACTGAGAGAAGTTAGATAGGTCAGTACTAGGTAGGCTCCATAAAGAATGATTCCATGCACAGCCAGGGGAATTCTTTCTTCTACTCAGCAAAGAACAGATACAAGATACCGCATTTTCAGATGGACAAAAGGATTGGCTAGGACAGTACACTTTGGTATTGAAACAGGACCACGGAAGAATGAGAAGTAAGCAAGAAGAAAAAGGTAGATACTGAATGCCAGTTAACGAAACTAAAAAAAAAAAAAAAAAAAGCATTAAAATATGCTACAAAACTGTAGCCTGACTTTGTTCTTATTCTATAGGCTACTGCTGTCCAGCACTTTGGAAAAAAATGGAGAAATTTTATATCTATGATGTTCAGTAAAGACAGCTAATAGCCATATGTGGCTCTGAACACTCAAGACGTGGTAATTGTGACCGAGAAGCTAAGTTTTAAATGTAATTTAAATTAAAAATTTAAATAACTACACATAGCTAGTGGTTCCATACTAGACAGCACAAGACAGACCCTGTGAAAAGTTGTTGCCTTATAAATCCTCACATATTATGAGTAAAGCAATTTCTGAGAATCACAAGATAACTGGGAATAAACTAATTTGGAAAGGAATGAGACACCAAGTCTGTAGGTTGGGGATGGTCTGAGAGACCCAGAGGTTTGGTTTATGAGACCCAGAGGTTCAGTTTTTTCACTTCCTTGGCTGGACAGTTTTTTTTTTTTTTTTTTTTTTTTTAAATTCTGTCCTATATATCAATGGTGAAAGGAAAGTAGTTTCTACAAATGGTTAGACCATCAGATGTAAATATAAAGCGAAACTTGACAACTCCTTCATGCTATACACAAACTTTAATTGGAGATGGATCACACACCTAAACAAAAAAGACAAAACTATCTTCCTGATCTTTGGAATAGGAAAATATATACAAATATTTTTTAAAGATGGGGTTTCACCATGATGGCCAGTCTGGTCTTGAACTCCTGACCTCAGGTGATCCACCCACCTTAGCCTCCCAAAGAGCTAGGATTACAGGCGTCAGCCCGACAGGAAAATATTTTTTAGACAGAATCCAGAAAACACCAAATATTGAAAAAAAAAATTGTTAAATTGTTAAATGTTCAAAATTAAAAATTTCTGTTAATCAAAAAAGCACCATTAATAAAATAAATAGGTATGCTACAGAATGGGAAAAATGTATCCATGTATTTTTTCATAAATACATATATCTGGCAAAAAGGACATATCCAAAATATGTAAAGAACTCCTACAAATTGATATATTTTTTAAAAAACCTAAGTTTGAAGACACTTCACAAATAGGATAAATGAATGGCTAATAAGAAAATTTAAAAAGCGTTCAATATCATTAGTTATCAGGCAAATGAAAATTAAAACCACCAAGAAATACAACTACAATACCCGCCAAAATGACTACAATTAAAAAGACTGACATAACATGCAATGTTGGTAACGATATGGAGCAACCCAAACTCTAACACTTTCCCAGTGGAAATGTAAGATAGTGTAGCCCCTTTGGCAAACGGGTTTGTCAGTTTCTTTTAGTCAAACGTACATTTACTTATCAACTGAGCCAATGACTCCTCCCCAGGTGTTTACCCAAGAGAGATGTAGCGTATGTCAACACAAAGACTTGTATGGAAATGTTCATGGAAGTATTAGTTATAATAACCCAAAGTGAAGACAACCCAAAAGTCTACAACAGGAGAACAAATTGTGCCATATTCACGCAGTGGAATGCTGCTCACCATATACCGATATACTCAACATGTATTCATCTCAAAAACATTAGGTTGAGCAAAGGAAGCCAGACCAAAAAACTACATACTGTATGGTTCCATCTATATATAATTCTAAAACAGCAAAATCAATGTGTGATGAAAGGAATCAAAAACAGTAATTTCCCAGGGGAAGGGAACTGGGTGAGAACTGTCACAAAGGAACTTTATGTGTGATAAGAATACCTTGATGGGGTATGTTAATGTGCACACTGTAATCAGTTCCTTTCACTGTATTTAAATTATACATCGGTAATAAACAATTTTTAAACACTGTGTAAAATGCACTCATACTTGCTGGCAGTTATTTAAAATGTAGGTATTACATCCCTGAAAATGTGTGGGAGACCAAAATGAAGTTTACTGGGTAATGAACTGTGAAGCATGTTGAAAGATGGTTTCCTATGATGTAAAATAGTGCACTTTAGTGTGTTACAGTTTAGTGTGTTGCAACCAGCATTTTGCCTTAATGAAAGAGAAGTGAAGAGAATATTAGAATGCAATACAAAATATCAATGTGTCATATGGTAAGATCAAGAATTATTTTGTGAAATGTAAGTAAGTGTGTACTCAGTTATGATGGAAAGCCTATTTCTTACTGTGGATTGTAATAAAAAATGTTTGAAAACCACTCAAGTATACTGTTAAAGTTCTCAGTTGGTTATAAAATTAACCTTTAAGGAGTATGCTGCCACCAGGTGGAGGTAGCATGCCACAACTACAGGATCTTAGCCATGGAATATTAACCTTTCATGTGCCATGGACCTATTTAGCCAGCTGTGAAGCAATGAAACTTGCTAGGAAAAATATTTTTAAATGCATGAAACATATCACATAGGATTAACAAGAAAACCAATTACAGTGAAGTACAGTTATCTTAACAAAAGAGAAATTTGTGACATAGGAATGCATGCACTTGTTTATGAAGGCATTGGGTTTTGTCAGATAGTGATGATCTAATGACAACAAATCTGAAGTAGTAATAAGCATAAGTGACGTCTTCATTATCTGCAACAACCATAATGTAATATGAAAAGAGCTATAATTTATAATGGTGACAAATCCTGCTAATACTATTGATATTTTTATTATTCAGAATAAAAAGGAAAACTAAATTTATTAGAACTTGGTCACGATAAAGATGAACTTTTTCCCATCCACGTTCACTGACCTCTGAATTCTATCACAGACCCACTGAAATTCCAGTGATTCTAGAATAAAAGCCCTTCCAAAGTGGTAAAATATGTCTCAACACATTTTATTGTGGGTTCCCACAAGTGTTCTTTCCTGATTTTTTAATCTAAACCAAGCTCACTGCTACCTTTTCATTAGCAAAACTAATTCTGCTTTTTTTTTTTTCCTTGTAACTTTCCCACCACTGCAGAACTAATTCTTAAGGGGAAAAAAAAGGAATCTTAAGCTTAAGCAACTTGAATTGATATTGTAACAGCAGCTTTCTGAAGAATTAACATTATAGTAAGGTCCAATTCGATATTTCTCTCACCACTTTGGGGCTTTGATCACAAATAACCTTGCCTAAGTTTAAAAATAAACAGAGTGAGTAAAATGTCTCTTTTTAGAAAAATAAATTGTCAAATCTTACTGCAGTGATCAGACTCTCCTGGGGTTTCTGGAAGACTCCAACTGTTTGACAGGCAGTCCCCTCCCCCGCAGGGGGCTCTCCCTCTGCAGCCGCAGTTCTGAACTCTCTGAACTCCCTCCCACACTAGGCAGAGGTATTCTGCCTTTCCAAAGTTCCCTGCTCTCAAACCTTTGCTTCTTGTCTCTCATGAAAAAACAGAAGTGGGGAAGGAAAAAAAAAAAGCTTCTTATTCTGCCCGCAGCACAGCCTCCCTTTCTCCTCCTCCTTAATTAGGAGGAGGTTATTTCTAGTCTCAGATGATCAACTCTATAGTTTTCTTCTGAAAGGAGCAACACGGTAACCATCACTTCTTTCTCAGGTTAGAACTGGTCACTCTGCAGAGGCCAAGCCATCCCTTAAACAGCCCACAGGCTGCTAGGAACAGCTTCATGTCACATGCACTGGGCTGCCAGTCCCCCAGTCCTGACTGGCTTCTATCCCCTCCACCTAGAGGATTCAGCCAGCAACAGGGAGTCACCCCTAACTACTCCCTTTCCCTAACCCTCCAAAATCAGTCACACATCTTGTCCATTTTAATTTTTTAGAGTTCTCAAACACACTCCTCTCTTGCTCTGCTGCTCACATCTCCCACTTGGAAGATCAGAGTGATTTCTATTGGTATCCTGGATGAACCCCCAATGCCTATCTGGGCAGTCTCTAGCCCACAATCAGATCAGTCCACTCCTGCTGCAGCTCAGAGTAGCAAGTCACAAGCCTCTAATGAGGCCCACCTCTTTGTCTCCTGCACCTGACTTTTTCATCCTTGGCTTACATTACAGCTTGCCTCGCTGCTTCCATGCTTGTTGAGCTCCTACTGCATCCTCAAACCCTAGCAGGAGTGTGGCCAACTCTGTGAAGCTATTCTGAACAGTTTCTCTTTCACTGCTCTGGATCAGTCCATTCTTGAGTGATTATTTATTTTTGCATTAAATGACTGGTCCATGTAGGGTGCCCATCCTAGGCTATAAGCTCCATGGAGACAGGTCTATATCTCTGCCAACCCTGTATCCCCAGTGATCAGCACAGTACCAGCCCTCAGTGAATGCTTAATATTTAATGAAAGGAAGAACAAACAAATAAACAAACAAAAAAAATGACAGAACAAGTTAGCTCCGAGTTTTGGGCAAATCACAGCCTTGTCTACAGAGAGAGAGCTCTAAGCCCTTTCCAGGGACAAAGCCATTCCTATTTGGCCCAGTGCACTGACACATCACAGAACAACTTCCTGTCACCCTATTCTAGAGTGGCAACAACTCTGCCATC